TTTTTTGTTGTTGTAATTCATAGCCAAACAAGAAGAAGCTGTTTAGTTCTATTAATTGATGAAGGTTGACTTTTCTAAATCTGTTTAGATAAATTTAGTTGGGATCAATTATCTCTCAACACGATTTCCTGCAAATTCTACATGTCCAAATATCAGAGAATATGATCATAACAACTCAGCCATCTCTAGATCCCTTAATTCCTACTTCTCTACTTTTTTGTTCAAACCATCTTGGTTTGTGAATAAATGAAGTATTATTTTTGACCTATAAAAAACATGAGCCGAAGTCAACGCTTTGATTTGTCTGTCTCAAGCCTTGCTTCCTTATGTCGCAATTGGTTAATGAATGTGGATGATTATTGACAACTTTGTATATGTTGAAGTAAGCTTCTTTAGTTACAGAGAGTTTTGGAGGTTACAGATTCTTGTTTCCTTTATGCTGATTTTATTAAATAAAAGTAGTTATCGATTTGTTTCTCTGTTATGTTATAAAACTGTGAATAGACTAAGCCATCAATAATTAAGCTGGGTATGGACTTTTCTGAAGCACATATATAGTCAGGGATCACATCCCTTTTAATCTCCACTATTAATGATATTCTAGTTCAAACTCTCTTTTTTTCCATTATTTATTTTAAAGTCTCATTCCAGAATTTCAAAAAGTTTGAGCTTATCCAATTGGTGGATATAACAAATTGGACTCGAACTTCTTTTGGCACACAAACTGCCCAATATAAAGTGTTTTCTTGAAATTAATTGCATGATAGGCATGAAACCCGAACTCAGTGTTTTCTTGAAATTAATTGCATGATAAGAATGAAATCCTAACTCCTTCAAATCTTCTTGCGTTGACTATTCCTCTTCTGAATTACTACTATTTTCAATCTTCAGCTCAAATACCCTGCACCAGGAGCTCCAGAATTGGCTAAAAGGGTGAAGGAAGTTCTCATGGCATCAGGGTTCACGACAGTGCACGAAGACAAAAAACGTGGTTTGGACCATGGTGCGTGGGTCCCTCTCATGCTCATGTACCCGGAAGCAGATATTCCAGTCTGCCAGCTCTCGGTCCAGCCCAATAGGGATGGTACTTATCACTACAACATGGGAAGAGCATTGGCCTCCCTCAAGGATGAAGGCGTCCTCATAATTGGTTCTGGATCTGCCACTCACAACCTAAGGGCTCTCGGTTCATCCAAAAGTGTTGTTTCTTGGGCTTTAGAGTTTGACAATTGGCTTAAAGACGCCCTTCTCAGTGGAAGGTACATTCTTATAATCCACTTACTTGCATGCTTAACTGGTGAATCAAGGACTGAGTTTTTTGAAAAGCTCATTTATTTCAAGTCTGAACTTATAGAGCTGAATGTAATCACATACATATCTAATGTTGATCGACATGGTTGATGTGTTCTTGCACTATATGTCAACATGCTAATATATGTCAGGAAATTGCTCCAAAGTAACATCTGATATCATAAGTTGCATATTTTTTGTGTGTGTATCCGCATTTAGTTGGCATTGAAGCACTGTATTTGACCACATCATTAGTCACAGAGACTCAAATTAAAGTCAATGCAAATGCTTGTTAAAATGATGGCGCCTTTAGATATATACTTGCTCTAGGGCTATCAAAAAATATATATACTTGTTCTAGATATTGTGTCTAATAAAAGAAACCATTGGAAATCTTGCGTCACAGCCAAAACTATCATATTTCAAATGCTGTGTATATTTTTTTATACTGTTCTGTGTTGAGCTCAAGAGAGGGAATACTGTGCTTGAATTAATTCATATGTGTCTGATTGAGTCAACATTTTCAAAATTCTCGTGTAAGAACTTAAAATGTTAATTGTGAAAGTGAAGGAATATGAATCTTATTGTACATCAATTTGGAATGTGCAAAGGAGATAATCAGATTACACTTATTCCATTGTGTTAGCGACATGCTTTAGTTATTCTTCCTACTATCCTTGCTCATCCTGTCCTTTTCTTTTGCTCCGTTATTCTTTCCTTTTTTAACTTTTTGTTGGTATTAGTTCATGGTTAAAAGCGTAAGAATTCTCAAGTAAATAAGATGTGTATTCTCTGCTTAAACCGGAGTAATTTTGTTCATTTTTGTGCTTATATGTTGTTTTATGTTTAATACACTCCCATCTGTTATGCATATTTGCAATACTTCAGAAATGTGATTATGGAAACAGTCTTGATCTATCTCGTTAAATGATGTGTACTATATTTCATCTTTCTCTTTTAAAATTACGTTTTTGTGCTTGTCTGTGAGATGATAGGCATTATAATAAGCCTACTGGTAACTTCCATATTTTCAGCTTACGTAGTAGCCATCTTTTTGTAGGCATCAAGATGTTAATAACTATGACATGAAGGCTCCGCATGCAAAAGTTGCACATCCATGGCCCGAGCACATCTATCCATTACATGTTGCGCTAGGTGCTTCTGGTGAAGGCACAAATGGAGAGCTTATTCACCACAGCTGGGATCTTGGTGCACTTTCTTATGCTTCCTACAAGTTTTCTAGCCTGAATAGGCCTTCATAGATGAATGCTTGTTGTATGTATTTATAGTTTCAGGTGGTGTTGAATGTTTGAACATCTCAAAATGAATTTGTCTTAAAGAATAACATTAAAAAGACTAAATTGTTGTGATGACCAAAGTTATAAACTCTTGAGCAAAAATTATTATGGTACTAAAATTACGTAGTCCCCAGAAAGTTCCCCCCACCAGCCTCATCCTNATTAAACAGAGCAAGGGAAGTATCTCAGATACTCATCTGTATTTCATATAACCAAGCTAGCAAAATCTAGGTAATTTCTTGAAACATGGCTTTCAGGTTTAGCATTTTGTGTCTATCGCCGTATGATCAAAATTAAGGAGAATATTTGCTCTCTTTTGAAGTGTATTTATTGAGGGGCAAACATCAAATTAATAAAATTAGATAATGAGAAGCTTGAACACTGCTTCCAAAAAGTAAGAAGCAAGAGGAGAAAGAAATAACCTCAACTTGTTGAGCTTGATCAACAGGCTTGTTACACTTTCTGATTACATACCCTGACAGCTTAACTTGAGCAGTTGTTATTTCAACTGTAGAATTTAAAATGCTCCACATTCGTAATATTGGTCTCTGCAGAAGTTCATGACGAAGACCAAATGCTAGTGTGTTAAGTGACCTTGTTGTATAAACTCTGGTAAAATGCCATGTTAATAATGTTAGCATTCCAATCAAAATAGCTAGGATGACCTGCATACATCCATAAAGAAAAGGCCAAATCAAGAATCTGAAATAAATTTCCACCTCATTTAAATCCTGCAACACTACATGTATTGTCTCAAGATGAAAAATCAAGATTCAATTTTCAGACTACTAAGATACTAGAAATGGGATACTGTAATAAATTGACAGCTAAAGATGAAAATAAACAAAAAAAATAATTTGATATGTTTCTAGTAGACTAGCAAGAAGATATAATAGGCTGCTAATTCCAGTAGTTTAGAGGTTTTTCTTCTATGGGGGTTGAATTAAAAAAAATTGGCCAAAACTGGTCGGTACCGTAACTAGAATTGTGCATATTTAGCACTAAATTTCCAACCTTTTTTTCTTTTTTTTTCTCGTTATTATTGCTTCCTATTTTGCCTCTTAAAAATGAGCTCTTTTATGATTTTGTCAAAGCTCCCGAATGGAGCCAACTAAATTTAGGGAATGCTATCAGTTTACACAATATGGATGCCAGCGCTTTTTGTTGTAGATTTAAATTTGGTTTACAAGTATTTCTAGAGCAACTGTGAAACGGCGAATACATTACTGATTTAGAGCGCAAGAATCTTACAATAACGCTTGAAAGTGTAAAAAGTATCAGTATCACCCTCACAAGGTCACACTCAATGAACTCCTCTAAAACATTGCATATATTTCTTTCACTTCATTGTTACAGATAAAGCAACAAGCAATTGCCACTCCAAAACCTAATATAAGGAAATCATACAGGACTCTATACACAAGACCAGCATAGTATTTACGCATCACAGCCTTCACATTATAACCCAGTGGAATCTTCAACTTCCACTAGCGCCCTGAAAAAATTACAAAACTCCACCATGATTGTATTACTACCAAAGATTCCTACTATACACATATTAGGTGATGAGAAACTACAGCAGGAACTAAAGAAGTTTATTCTGAGAAACAGCCTGGCATAGCTCATCCTCGTAGAATAGAACTCTATTAGAACCCAAGGACTTGCAAAGGGGTTTTGGTATAACAGATGGCACCAAACACCTTGAAGGAAATGCAGATTCAGGGAAAAGAACAGCTGCAATTTGCTCCATCTCTGTAAACTTGAGACGAGATGGGGGCCTGGGACCATGCTTAGGAGCCTTAGGAGTATGAGGACTGTGAACCCATGAATTTTTCCCATCCCCCTTGCTGCAAAGTGACAGCTATTAGACAATTCAACACATAAATCCCTTAATCATCTTTTGTCACAAGATCATTATATACCTTGCAAAAGACCAGTGATCAGCAGGGAAAGGAGTCATGGTTCTTAGCATATCTTGCCCCATTCTATCTGGAGTAGTATAATTGAAATGGAATTGCCTTGCCAGAATTACCTGTCCCATTTACACCAGCTATTATACATTACAGATTCTTATGTGGCTTAAATTTTAAAAGAGAAGAGTAGAGAGAGAGAGAGAATGACTCACTGCCTTCCTAATCTTGTGAGAGACGTGGAAAACTGATTTTAGTTGGTCATGTTGCAGGTGGCAAAGTATTTTAACCTTAAGCAGAGTACATAAAAACTATCAGCTATTCAGCCAGATAATCATAAGACTTCAAACAGAAATAGTTTAATAAACAGCAGGAATTGGATATCTCAGTGACAGAAGGATTAGTTTGGATAAATCTTCTCAAATGCTAGATATCACAACCATACTCTCTCAATTTCAAAAGACACATATATAAATGATAACTAAACACATCAATTGTCATAATACACTATATCACCCGGTCTTTGTAATATAGGCCATAGCATTCTCCAAACAGCTAATTCAGCTTATCAGCTAGTCCTTTCTGCCTATTTCTCTTGCAAATTTTAACCTTCCTTTTGAATTCAAGTTTACCTACAATGTTAATATTCAAGTAGCCAGGTATCAGGTGATGCTAACGAGGAAGCTAGGAGGAGAGAGTAAAGAAAAAGAAACCAAAAGATCTACTTGGAGAGATAGTAACATTCACGACTAACTTCAAACCGTGAAAAAATGATGACATCAATCATGCTAAAAGAGAATGTTGGTAGTGAGTGTGTGAACATCACTGGAACTTGTAATCAAACTGAAGACTAAAAGAACTCAAATAAAACTCCCATTATCTCAAGGGGACTGGACATAGATTTGCTGAACCATTACAAAAATATCGTATGTCAGTGTTACTATTTCCATTTTATTGCTTACTGTTAAATTTGTTCAAACCCATAAACGCTAGTTTTTTCTGTGCAGTTACTGAATAACCCATGCTAATTCAGATTGAGTCAACTGAAACACTTACATTGACCTATAATTCTAAAAATAGTACAATTCAACCTTCCTCTCGTGTTTCCATTGCCAATAATTTTTCATATTTTCTACCTCAAGTGAAATAAGACTCAACATCTACCTTAAGAGAATGCAAGTCAGGCAAATTGACATTTATAAGGATATTCGGGAACAAAGTCTAAGCTGGACTATTGGGTGCAGTAAAAAGGAAGAGAACATTCTATACCAGCAAATCCAATGGAAGTGACTCAAGCCTTGACTCCGACATGCCTTCTACAGCTCCGGGTGTCTTTGGTGTCATCTGCAAAGTATTCTGCTTGGCCAAATCCATGGGTGAAGACACAGCACCCAAACAATATCTCACAGGAGATAGAACCATTGAACTGTCATCATTACCATTATTTGGAAGTACAAGTTCCTCATTAGCATTATCTGCAATCCTTACCACCAATTTTTTCTTCCTAAGATCAGTACAACATTTAGCAGCAGAAACCTTGGTGTACCGAAGCTGTGCCAGAGCACCTGGTCTCAGATACATGCTCTTGGTACTCTTTGACTGCCTCTTCTGTTTTGGAATTTTGCATTGCCCATCTTTAGGAGACACTTTCCCCATACTACTCTCTTTCTGTTTTCTCTACTTGCCAGGCAATTAGGGATCTCCTCTACCCTCAAGTTTTCCACTTCACTCAAATTGAAAAGTAAATCTAACCAAAGATTTCTTTCCACGTTAACCTGAAACAGTAAAAAAAGGATAAAAGGAAATAACTTATCGAAACAGGAAGATGTTCATACTTTCAGAGCTATTTGGTATGAAATAAAAATGTTCCCCTAAGAAATGATTTTCAATGTTTCATTACCCTTGAAATTAGAATAGTGCAAAATGTTTCAACAAGGAAAATAAAGTCCACTGTAAAGTCAAAAAGGCTAAACTGACTTCAATATTTTATTTTAAGAAGCCATTTTTCTTTTAAAATATCTTAAAGCTTTTTCAATCAACACATCAAAATTATCACCAAAAGCTATCCTTATACCATACCGTACGCCTCGTACAATTATCATATGTCGCCTTATTTTACAAAAAAATAAAATGTAAAATATTTTCTCTCACATTACACTTTTTATGGAAGACATCTATCCTTACCAAATGCAATCTAAAATCACATGAAGCTTGAAGCTAGAAGGAATTTGATTTCTCGGAAGAAGTGACTGAAGAATTCTTACAGAAGCTAGGCACAAATTCTTCTGATAATTGACATTGATGCGGACAACCTTCAAAAACAGCTTAAATATTGTCCCTACCTACAGAAAAACAAGCAAAAATCCACAGCTGAAACCCAGAATTCAAGCAAACAGCAGTGCGCGCACCTGTAAAAAAATCAGAAACATAATAGAAAGGAAAAAAAGCACACACACACATTGAAACACGCATAGAGAAAATCAAACAGAAAAAAAAGGAGAGATGAAAATTAGGAACCTGAAATGAAGCAAAGAGAGAAGCATTAACCCTAGCAAATGGGAGAAAGGGAGGGAAATGAGAATGAATTGACTGGTTGGAGAAAAAGTTAGGGATTTGGTAAGGGTTGCTTATTTGAATTTGTTGTGATTGACCCGCCAAAACTTTTGGACTCTATTGTGGGGCCCGATCCCCTCATGAGTGTGTCGTAATGCTGACGTGGTGCCTTGATATTGGAAGTACTGACTCTACTTTCCGGCCCCAGTTCCGAATCCTATGTATTCCTCTCCCACGCCGCTGATTGCGGAGAGTCTGGTTGTTACTTCTTAGATTTTGTTGTTGACTCGTTTCTGATTAACGGAGTATTTAAATTTAACTAGTATATATATGAATCCGTCGGACCTTAATAATGACACATGATGATTTAAATATTTATTTATATGAAGGAATAATAAGATTTAATTAATGAAAGAAATTTTATGTATAATAATACAACAATCATCTAAATGCCAAAAAATATTATTAAATTAGCATAATACATGGATTTAAAATAAAATGACATCATGAAAACTTACACAAATGATTAATTTTGTCAGATTAGTTAGATAATTATATATTATAGTTTAAAAATATTTAATGTGATAGTATCTTAAAGAACGCTTCTTTATGGTCAATATTTTTTGTGTATGTTTCCTCCTAATGCGTTGGTTGCTCTGCCTTAACCAGAACTCTTATTGTCGATCTTTATATCCCTCTTGAAAATACAACGTACAGTTGTTCGTGCAAGAAAACATATTGTGGTAACAATATTTAAGATGTTTGTCCTTATGTTTTATTATATATTTATAAAACGTAAACATACTAAAAATTGTTCTCACACAAATTTAAAAGGATATTCCTTCGTTTCGGAAGATGAAAGTTGAATTCAGGGATAAGAATATACTTAAGAAGCACATTAATCAATATCATAATTTTTGTATGTATGACGTTATTGTCAAAACTTCTATATACCATATGTGTGCTATTACATAAGCTACTCGGCGTATCTAAGTTTTTCAGTAGCATGACATGCATATTTTTCTTCAAAATTAACCAATTTACAATGAAAAATCAATTTTAACTTATTTTATTATATATACGGTGACACTAACATATGTAAGAATTAAGAAACTTAACAACAAACATGTATGGTTGAAGGCCATTTGGTATTAAAGTGTTTAAGTATTCTTCTTGGTTATAATTATTGGTATCATTTTCTGTTGAGTCAAAAATTGAAAAATATTTTGTTTTTACTATAAAATTTTGCAATCAACCTTTTATTTAGTTGATCAACATATTCATTTATGCTATCTAAGATATCTTTTTAATCCTATCATGCAATTTGTACAAATTGCGTTTTAATCTAATGATAAAAATATTTATCTTATTAAATGCACCATTATTACCATTGGGATTGATAACCAAGTGTTTAGAATCATCCTTTATTGGATGATCTTCTTCGTTTCCGACACGAAGCAAGAAGATACTGAGTACTGGATCTGTTCTTACTTTATATTTCTTGTCAATTGAATTTTTTTTCGTTTAAGGCTAGAAGTATAACTTTGGCAAGCTAGCTTTTACGGTCTCTCCTTTTGTCGATTTTGGAACTACTAGTAATACTTACAAAAATTACCTCTCAAACCATTAATTTTTCACCAAACGATTCATTAATATCCAATATATCTCTAGAACTACGATCAAATATTTCGATCATTTGACATTTAGCCATAAGTGCTTCATCCCATATTATCAATTTAGCTTTCTTTATAAATTTAGAATTATTGCTCTGTTTTGATATATTTGTGATAGTTATTTAAGTTGTTTGAAGATATATATCAAATCTAAAGTGAGTGGTCTCACAATGTCATACCTCTTGATATGATATTTGCAAGTAATGCATCATATAGAAATATTATTTCGATTCCACCGGAGGCATCTATAAAGAATAATCCCGTTATACCAGAGTCGGCTCTTTATAATATATTCTTGAAAAGTTGTTCTTGTTTATGATTTAGCTTTGATTATGCTTCCTCAGACACTTGTATAACATTTTGATTCATAATAATATACTAATATTTTTACTTTGTGAAACTTGTTTGACCAAAAAATATGCATATTGATTCAAATAATCAAATTTAAGTAATTAGGGGTTAAGCTTAGTTAGCAATAATATTCCTAGATGAAGTTTTTAAAGATACAATAAACGTTATATGGGTTCGGTCAGATAATAATAACAACATGCAATAATTGTTCTAGAAAGCACGAGCAATAATGTAGCATTCAATAACAATGAATAGCAATAAATGACATTTAACTAATTAGGAGGAATGATTCAGCCAATAAAGGATGAAATAGGTGGATCCTGATAATGATGAATGACAAACAAATCCTTGAATATTCGAGTTATTCTCGTATGTGATGAAAAGTATGGACAAGAATCTTAGTGAAAATGTAGTATTTGTATCTTAGCAAGAGAGAGATAGAGCCGAATCTTTTAGTCAAAGTATGTTCTTTACAAATGAATATCACATGCCCCTATCATTGTCTCTTTTTTCTATATATATATGAGATATGTTCATAAAAAAACCTTAATAGTACAAGTGTAGAGAATATCTACTAGAATAGTCTCTTTTAATATCCTATCTTGAAAAACTAACCATTACAGCTCTACCAACGGTACTCGACCTCGACTCTTGTTGACATCTCGACTATGGCTCTTGTCGACACTTTGACCATGGACTTTGTTTCTTCTTGGGTCATTTCGACTAACGACGACTTGAGAACTCTTCCCTTAGAAACATCTTGGCTTATATACTCTAGATACAGATTTTAACCCATACAAAACTAGCAAAAGATCTTGGTATAATCTACCAAATATGCAATGCCAGATTTATAACAAGCACAAGCAAGTGAGAGAATATTGTACATTTTCATAAAACATTTTTATTTGCCCTCACATATCTTTACCTACTATACAAATATGAGCGTTTGTCCTATATGCACACATCTATAAAATAGTACTCCTTCCGTTTCAGTTTAAATGACACAATTTCCTTTTTAGTCCGTTAAAAAAATGATGAGTTTTTACATTTGGAAACAATTTAAATTTAAATTTTTATTTTACCCAATTTACCCGCCATAGCTAAATTTAAGAGCTATGAATGGATCATATCTACCTTTTAATTTAATTTTTTTCATAGCTACAATGAATTTTCAATTTACCCATCATAGCTATACCAAATACATAGAGTTATTCCATTATATAATCTTTTCTCTCAACCCCCCCCCCCCCCCCTCTCTCTCTTTTCTCCCTCAACTCTCTCTCATTTTCCTTCTCCCTTCTCCCTCAGAACAGAGAAGTCACCACTGGTCGTCTTCTCCGGCAGAGCTCTACATAGCCCAACTAAACAGTTCTCTCCTTCTCTCTTTACTACATATCACCACCCTCTGTTGTATACCCTCTTCACTGCGAATCACCCTTAAACACCATCACCACACACTCAAATCTATATCTGAAATCACGAAGTCGCGATCAATCCATTACCAGTGGCGAAAACAATGGAGGAGTAAGATCAGAAGCGTCACTAGATCTGGATCTAATAGAGATACCAGAATCCATGGCTTCTTCTCCTTCTTTGTATCTCACATATGAGTGTATTCGTCTGACTTGAGACTTATTTCTCCACCACTACTTTTTACGCTGGAAAAAAAAGTAGCCTCTTTCTTCTCCACTACCTTTCACGTCAAAATATCGTTATATAAATACAGTGTATTTTATATTTTCATTAGAGATCTAAAGTGTATTTTGGATTTTCGCCGGAGATTAAATGAGATTTGATTGTATTCTCTATTTTTAAATACATTGTAATTTGTATTCTCGTCTAAGATTTGATTGTATTCTTTATTTGTTTTCTAGTTCGAGGAATAATTCACCCAATAAAGGATAAATAGGTGGATGTTCCTCCTGATAATGATGAATGATAGACAAATCCTTGAATATTAGAGTTATTCTCGGATCTGATGGAAAAGTATGGACAAGAATATTAGTGAAAAGGTGGTATTTGTATCTTAGCAAGAGAGGGAGAGAGAGAGAGAGAGAGAGAGAGAGAGAGAGAGAGACGAATCTTTTAGTTAAAGTGTGTTCTTTACAATTGAATATCGCATGCCCCTATCATTGTCTCTTTTTTCTATACATATAGGACATGTTCATAAGAAATCCTAATAGTACAAGTGCAGAGAATATACACTAAAATATTCTCTTTTAATATCCTTTCTAGAAAAACTAGTTGTTACAGCTCTACCAACGATACTCAACCTTGACCTCGACCCTTGTTAATATCTCGACTACGGCTCTTGTCGACACTTCGACTATGGACTTTGTTTCTTCTTGGGTTATTTCGACTAACAATTACTTGAGAACTCTTCTCTTAGTATTATCCTGGCTTAATTACTATAGAGATAGATTTTGACCCATACAATTAGTCCCTCCGTTGATTGAGACCGGCTTCAGGCAGGGTCGATGAGAGGATTTGCTCGTTATGGTCAAAACAATTGAGCGAGCAGTTCAGGTCGTGGTGGTCATAGCGAACTGGCAACATGGCCTTACGTAGACCACTTATTTCAACACGTCTCGATTTTCCCGATTGGTTTTTTGGAGTTAACTGTCCACAAATTAGGATGACACCGTGACGTCATGTGTCATTATGATGCATTTTCCCGATGCGTTGCTTCGTTTCACTTGTGTCCCTTGATTGAATCTGTCACTTCGGTTATGGTGCCAGTAATGATGAACCATTTTCGGTTCTAGTGCCCAGGTTCTTATAAATAGAAATTTCTAGGGTGTGATTTTGAAGTTTCAAAATTTTTACCTCAAGACCCCATATCTCTTTCTTTCTTCTCTCTGACTTGACACTTTTCCTCCTTGTTCTAGGGGCTTTCATCGTTTTCAATTCTTCATTGCTTGATATTTCCATTTCTTCTAATAAAACATGACTAACGTACCTTCCAAATCTAGTGAGGGAAGTGATACGGTCCCTTTAGCGATGGTGCTTCCTCCTCATGAGGGTAATTCTCCTGTCACCGTCGAGGATGGAGGCTTCCTTTTGGTGGGGGAGATAATTCCTCGCAATCCTGACACCAGGTTTGACTTCTCAAAATCCCCTGATGCCGACCCTGGAACCTTTCAGTCAGTGATGACGGAGAAGGAATTGGGAGAACTTAGGGTTAAGTACAGCATCCCTGATCCCCTCAAATTAATCTTC